CGCTGCACGCAGTCCGCGGGGGAGGAGCGGGCCAGGGTACGTGAGGGGCTGCTGAGGCCTGCAGGTAGGCAAGTGTGTCTGACTTCAGTCCCACTGCGAAGGAAGAGCTGTAGCATAGTGCTGTGCCGTGCCCGTCCTGGGAATCTGAGCTTGTGAGTTAACTTATTTATGGGAACAGTGTACTGGCCCCCTGTCACTCTATAGTGCATAGAAAAGGCATGTACAAGGTGGTTCCTCCCCTGGGGGATAATAGTTTCCCTGTGGTGATGTCAAGGCTACTTTCGTTTGCTGACAAGGCATTTATGTTATGCTTATTGAGGGTTATTTCTTTCTAATTTCTAAAAACATAATCCCTCCAAGGAGTCCAACATGGAAGAGTTTAAAGATGCAAGTCCACCTGAAGAATTACTTGATCACTTAAAGCTTTCTGATCAGAAGTCTTCAGAGACTGACCCCAAAGATGCACAGAATCCCCAAAATATTGAAAGTGGATATGCACCATCTTCAGCCAAAGATCCCACAACAGCAGATGAGTGTTTCCATGACTGTCACGACTCCTTTGAGGCAAATGAACCTATGCTGGATGATGAAGGGAATTTACGGAATGATGAGAATAGCTCAAGGAAGCAGACAGAACTAGATGAAGAATACTTACTAGAACTAGAAAAAGATATGCCAGAGGAAGAAAAACAGGTAATCCAAAGTACCAATGTTGAATATAAAAAGATACATTTTCAGTGTCACATTTTTGAACAGACTGTGACCATCATGAAAATGGACCTTTAAAATTCTCTTATGTCTAGTCTAGTTTTACTGTTCTTAACTTCTTTTGGGTAACAAATATTTTTGTTAGCTTTCCTTGGTATTCTTAATCATCACATTCCATTGCAGATTTTTTTGTCTGCTTTCACCACTGTGTAAGGTTATAGTGACTCAGAGAGATTATAAGAAACAAAAATCTCCCTGTTTCATATTACTTTGTGTGTGTTCATTATTTTCACCTGATTAGCTGCAAAGTGCTTTTTCCAAAACTCGGAGCAGGTTTCAGGATAGTTTTCATATCTGAAAGGCTAGTTTATGAAATACAACTAATTGGGATTAAATTTGAAAGTATCCCTATAATTCACTTAAGCTTGTGGGTTTGTTTACTTTCAGTGTGGCTACATTGGACAAAATGTTTGGGTAACAAACTGGATAATGTTGTGGGGAGTAACAGAATAGGTCCCGTGGGAAGTCCAACAGCCTCTGTAATCACATTCACTCCACTCTAAGTCTGTGAACCAGGGGTTTTTTGACCCTCGGTCAGTGGTGTCACTTGACAGCAGTTAGTTTTCAGGGTTCTAAGATATTATGGTAATCAAGTAATTAGAAAAAAAATTTTTTTTTCTAATTCTGAGAAAATTTGTTAAATCACTTTCAGCATTAGACTGCTCACTTGAGTAATGCAGTGAATTTCTGCTGGTAATTATGTTCTCATAGCATATGGTGGAAGGCTTTGTAATGATTTATGGATTTTTTTTTCAACTTCAGTTTGCAAGTGGTGGGGGAGTAAAGATATTAAACTCTGTGTCCCAACATACAATTCTTGTAACTTTTTTTCCCTTTGAACACTCTATTTTTGACATGTCATCTAGCTTGGTCTCTTGAACAGAGCATGTGTCAAAGAACTGATCCAGCCTCTTAAAATCTGATTGAATGATCCAAATGAGCAGTTACTTGTACTGAAAATTTAAATAGTGACAAAAAAATTCTTTGGAAGTTGGGGAAGAGGTGAAATTCTGACATGTTGTAACTTACGTGAAGGGAAGACTTAAGCAAACTTTATTTTATAGTCCTGTAGGCATGAATTATATCTTACTTTATTAAAGGAAATAGAGTCCTTACTGAAAGGCTAGCTGCACAATTTGCATCATAGGTAACATATTGCATAACTGATTATGATGAAGGAAGGAGAGAGTGGAGTAAGGAATGGCAGCTGACAAGAGATGGTAGGCAGCATCTTAGGAAAGCATTGCTTCATAGGGAAAGATAGTGTATTGTGTAGCTGTATAGTTTTAGTTCTGGAACCTCCCAAATCGCCAGGAACAGCAGAGGAAATTACTACTGTAATGGACAAGTACTACTAAAATGAGGCATTTGATGAAAAAGAAGAAATGAAGGGTCATATCAAATTATTTTTTTTTAAAGTGCTTAAAATATTATGAATGTTTCAGTGAATTTATAGGGGTTTAGTACTCTTTTATACAGGCAGGCTGATCTTTTCTAATTCAACTAACTTGATAAAGCTTGACCACACTTTCTTAACTGTTGGCTAGCCCTATCTATGTTGTATAAGTAAATAAATGCTGGCTATATGTTCCCAAAAAAGTTGGAAAGAGGGAGGGGCGTGGCAGTAACTTGACTATGCCGTGGTCTTGCTGTCAGCTACTGTAAATAGAGAATGAGGGGCAGAAACAGGCAGAGCTTGCCAGTTGTAATACTTTGAGATCTAATAAGGAATACTGGAGGTAGGGGGAGAATCTCAAGAGGTTACCGGGTGCATCCTTTGTCCCAAAAGGGCCTCTGGAGAGTGCAGCTAGTCCAACCTCCTGCTCAAAGTTAGATCAAATAGATCAGCCTGCCCAGAGCCAAGGAGACATCTCAGAGCCTAGAGATTGCACAGCCTCTCTGGGCCCCTGTTCTAGTCTTTAACTACCCTCACGGTAGAAACATTTTTCCTCATATTTAATTAGAATTTCCTTTTTTGCAACTTGTGACCACTGGCCCTTCTTTTTCTGTGCGCCTACAGCAACAGTCTGTCTCAATTTTCTCTAACAATGAAATCTCCCTTGAGCCACCTTTTCCTAAGGCTGAACAAACTATGTTCTAGCTGTCTGTTGTAGGTCATGGTCTCCAGTGTCCTGACCATTGTGGGGGCCCTCTCCTGCACTCCCTCTGGGAAGTCGATCTCCTTTCTGTCTCCTTTCTGGGAGACAGGGCAACAACATGATACGTACCAAAACTGGGCACTCTCCAAATGAGTTCTCTTATGTGCTGAACAGAGAGCAATAATCAATTTCCTTGACCTACTCACTACACAGAAAAAACATTATGACGTTGCCCTTGCATCTTTTCCAGCTTAGATTAAACAGTTCCTTTTTTATACTTGTATTTATTGCTTGTACAAAAAGGAGCACTGTCATCCTAAGTCACAATATGGCTTCTGCAGTACCCTGTAACTTGAAGGCAGCTTGAGAGTTTCATAGACAAAATGCTGAAAACCAGGGGGAAATTATGTCATAGAATTAAAGTCCAGAAAGAGCAGCAGGCCTGGAAATTGGGTGTCTTAGTTTTCATGCTGCTCTTGCTTCTGTTGTATTGCTAGGTAATAATTTAATTTTGCACATCAATTTTTGCATGAGCAAAAGAATCGTGAATGTTGAATACTTGCATTCAGCTTTGTGTAACTCCATTGAAAGGTGCTATGGGAGTACAAAATACAGTTTAAAGCTGGAAAGATTTCCCTAGAGAAGGTATTGAGTCAGCTGCAGTTCTCATCTTTTTGTAGGTTTATTTCCAGTGGTATTGAGCAATTGTGCCTTTCAGCTTGGCTTGTGATTATACCTAAGGAAATGGAGGGATTTGATCTCTTAGTATCTCTATAACAATTAGATTGGTAATATTTATATTGTGAACTTCATGTTCCATGGAGATCTTTCCGAGTGGTTTATATAAGCAGTCTTTAAAATATAGCTTTTTTTTTTTTTCCTCTAACAAAATATTGTTGGTATCTCTTATAAGCAGAGCTTGAAAAATCCAGAAACTAGAGTTAGCCCACCTGCATGACCTTACCCTGCATCACCTTATATTCTCTGTGTAGTAAAATCATGGGGATGGCTTATTCCTGAACTGCTACTCCAGCTTTCCTCATGGTACTTGGAACTGATGGCTACAAATTTTATTTTACTTTTATTTTGAAAAGTGAAATGTTCTATATATTTTGATTATGAAAAGAATCTGTGAAATGATGGTGCTTTTAAGGAAAAAACCCTGCAGTTTTGGTCTGAAAATGGCTGCCATACATCCACTTACTCAGAGTTTTTCAAACATTTTAAACCTCCTTCCAATTACTCAAAAGGTTGTTTTTGAGAAGAAGGGCAACATGATTTTTTTTTCTTTTGCAGGTGGAGAAAATGAGGCAGAAATATTCAGAACTTGTTTATTTGTCCATTTAGGTTGTGACCAGACACTCAACAGCAGTGCTGTGTTTGCGACTTAGGCAGTCCTTGATCAGTTATTCTCAGCCCCCTGCTGCCTCCTCCATTGTGCTAGCACACCTCGCTGTGAATGTGCAGTGAATCACTTATGGGGAACGATTCAGATGAAAAGTAATGCTGTATTTCTAGATCAAGGGCAGTGCTAGTAAAAGTAGACATCAAAGGACAGCCTTGTGATGGCATACAGGGGTAGATGGGTTTTCTTCAGCTAGACTACTTGCCTAAATAAGAAAAGCTTCCTGTGAACTGTGGTTCCAGCACCAATCATAAACTGTGTACTGAAGTCATAAGGAGAGCTGGATGTTAGCCCTGCTCAAATTGTATTTATGGAGCTACACCTTAATAGTGGTTTTGGGGTTTTGTTTTGTTTTGTTTTTTAAAAAAAACTAAGCCCATCGTTATATTTTAGCAGCTTTAATAAATCAGTTATTTGTGATGTTATCCAATAACCGGGCTGTAGAAAAGAAAGTTTCTAATTTATTCTGGAGATGCAAAGACAGATTCTAGTCCTTGCTCTGTGTATTTATGTGTATTCTATGTGCAAGCTTTCATGGTAGCAGCTCTGAGTAGAAATCCTCACTCATGCAGAAGCTGCTGCAGAGATCAAAGTGAAGGAGCAAGTGGTAGTGTATTTTCTCTCAATTATATTTTGAGACCCCCATACAGTGAGATTTGTAATTTTAAGCAACAGGAATTACTTCAAGGGAAACAGTACCGATTCTGTAAGAAGTCTTCTCTGCACAATGAAGCAAAATCAGAACTTGAATGGATATTAAGACATAAACCTACAAGAAGTGTTCTTAAAAGCAGATGTAACTTAGAGCCTGGTTACTTGCCTGGACTTGCAACTCTGACCTTTTTAAGAATTAAGCAGCTTGAAATAAAATTCATTTTTATAAGATTTTGTTGTTGTTGTTTCAAAAGCAAGCTGATTGCTGCCTCAGCAGAGGCACTGGGCGGTAAATTGCTTTTGATGCATTACAAACAGATTTTTCTGGTTAGTTGTCATTGACAGTGATGGCTTTGACATTGGTCTAGTCTGCAGAATTAATCAGAAGACACCCAACAGCTGTTACATGGTAATTGTTTCAATCTGACCCTGTCCTCTTCTGGAGGGACAGCCATTAATTATGAGTTTATCCAGCAGCAAAATTCTGAATCCCTCATGCTCTTCCATCATGACAGATGTTGTCTTATTCTTTGGGCCTTGTCTGGCAAAGACTTAAGCACCTGGCCTAGTAAGCTCTTATTTTGGATATAGAACACTCCTTTCTAGCTGCTGTTAGACCCTGGAATAAATATCTAATATTCCTCAAAAGCATTTCCCTTCTTTGGGAAGCATTAGAGCTACAGCTGGCTGTAATCATGCTCAACTTCTATTTTAACACTAGGAAATGTGTCAGCAAGACAAGGAACACGGGTCTAGTAGAGGAGATT